TGGAGAAGTTTTTGCTCAAGTATAGAGAGTGCTCCTGAAGCATCTAGACTGAGTAGAATACTCTGCAAGGAAAACCAAACACAATGGGGCTGCCTTAAGCGTCCCAATGGAGGGTACACAGAAACTGCGGAGGAGACCCTACGGCACCTTATGGAAATTCATTTCCCAGGCTTTAGGGAGGACTCAGCAGACAACAACAACAGGCAGAGACCCATGACCGTGCACAAATCAAGGGCATGGGGACTGGCAGCTAAGGTGGTCTATCCACAAGCAGTGGAATGGGCGGTCGGTTCCTTCGAGCCTTTAAAGGTTCCAGGACCTGATGGAATATACCCGATCCTGCTGCAGAAAGGGCTGAGCATCTTGCTAGGCCCAATGACAAAAATCTACAGGGCAAGTATTGCCCTTAGACATGTCCCCCAGAAGTGGAGAGAAACCAAGGTGGTTTTCATACCTAAACCTGGCAAGAACGGTCACGTCAGGGCAAAGGACTATAGATCAATTAGCCTTATGTCCTTTGTATTGAAGACCTTAGAGAGACTGGTGGACAGATTTCTCAAGTCCAACTCTCTAATACAACAACCTCTAGCCGACTCTCAGTATGCCTACAGGGAGGGCAGGTCTACCGAAACCGCCCTACATCACCTGATAGGCAAAGTTGAGAGTCAGCTGGAGGCAAAGGGCTATGCGATCGGAATCTTCCTGGACATCGAGGGCGCTTTCGATAGCACTTCACACGAGGTGGTAGGGGAGGCACTGATCAAACATGGAGTTCAAGAACCACTGGTGGACTGGATAGGAAATATGCTAGTGGACAGACGCTTGACGGTGGAGTGCCAAGACATCTCCATCAGAGGAAAACCAACGAGAGGCTGCCCACAGGGGGGAGTTTTATCTCCTCTGTTGTGGTGTCTAGTGATAGACGACCTGCTAAAGGAGCTACAGAGGAAAGGTTTCTCGACCTTTGGCTATGCTGATGACGTGGCCATAGTGGTTAGAGGACCATTTCTCAACACACTAAGGGACCAAGCAAAGGATACCTTAAGGATTGTGCAAAACTGGTGTGAGAACAGATGTCTAACGGTTAATCCGAGCAAGACAAATATTATGGTCTTCACCAGAAAATATAAACCTAAACCCATAGAGACGTTAAAACTCTGGGGAGAGGAAATACCGTTTACAGACTCGGTGAAATACTTGGGACTGTTTCTAGATCCTAAGCTTAGCTGGGGAAAACATCTCATAGAGCAAAGGAAAAAGTTCTATGCATCCATGTGGATGTGCAGAAGGGCAATGAGCAAGTCGTGGGGCATCAGCGCTGGTGCAGCTTTGTGGCTGTACAGGGCGGTCCTGCTACCGCGGCTGCTATACGCGTCAGTCGTCTGGTGGACGAGAATAAATAAAGGGGAGGTAGAGAAACTACTTAGAAGCCTGCAAGGTAACTACCTAAAGGCTGCAGTAGGGGCCATGAGAACCACACCCACAGAGGCGCTTGAAATAGCACTCAGTGTTACGCCAATAGGCTTGGCCGTGATAAAATCAGCCAATACCACGGCATACCGTCTGAAATGTCAGGGTGAATGGAGAAACACAGGACTGGGACACACCAGGCTTGGTCTTCTCCAAAATACCCTATTGAGGGAATACAAGACAGAACTACAAGAAAGTATCAACTGGTAAAACACTTTAAGATATGGATACTTGATAGAAACGAGTGGCTGAAACCGGGCGGAATCATGGACACAAAGGTGGACATGTGGTTCACGGACGGATCAGGCATAAACAACTGCTTTGGAGCAGGAGTATATGGACCTGGGGAAAACCATAGGGAGAGTATTCCAATGGGAGGCGACTGCACGGTCTTTATGGCAGAGATGCTCGCCATCCTCAGATGTGCCGAACTGAACCTAACCAAAGGAACAAATTGCAGGAAAATATATATCTGCACAGACAGTAGGGCGGCCCTTCTGGCGTTGGCGGGTGCGACCACCGAGTCTTGCTTGGTATGGGACTGCATGCTGGCGCTGGAGGAGCTGTGTGGAACAAATAAAGTAACGTTAGTCTGGGTGCCCGGGCATCAGGGCATTCCGGGTAACGAAATAGCAGACTCACTGGCTAGAGAAGGGGCTAGCAAAGCACCAGATAGTCGGGAGATGGGAGTGCCCTTTACGATGGGTAAGAACTTCATCAGGGAAAGTATAGACAAACAACATAAGGCCAGGTGGGATAATCTGAAATCCTGCCGACAGGCCAAATTCCTGATGAAAGACATAAATGGTAACAGAACCAAGGAACTGCTCACATTGAATAGGCAGAAATTGAGGATGGGGATAGGACTGCTGACAGGGCATTCACCAATACTCAAAGCCCACCTATTCAATATCAGACTCGCAGACAGGAAGGAGTGTCGACTATGCGGGGAGGAAAAAGAGGACAGCATACATATTCTGTGCCAATGTCCGACTCTGGCTAGAAAGAGATTCAGGATCTGGGGATAAAGTTTTCTTAAATCCCAAGAATTAGACAAAACAAGGGTGGTGGAACTCATAAGCCTAGTGGAGAACTCTGGGCTGAGTACACATCACTCAGTTTAAAGACAAGAGTGAGGAGACACAATGGATCTCGCTGGATCTAGGTGCCGTCGGGGGCCAAGTTATGGAACCACTCACTACCAATCTACTACTACTACTACTACTAGTTTTGACTTATTTTGACTTCGTCATTTCATTCTCAAGAGATGGGACGTGACTTTTATAATACACCCTTTATATATATTAGACATATACATATTATGTATGCACATACAGCACATAGGTACATGATAAACAGAGAGATTAGGATAAACAAAGAAATAGAAAGAGAGAATAAATGAGTAAATGAGCGATTGAACAAGCAAATAGCTGTATAATTGTCATAAAGCGATATATTGATTGATAGTATGCATACAGCATTACTAAATACTGAGCATAAAGATCAATAGAAATAGATACAACTATTTTTTCTTCTTTTCTTCATTTTCAGCATTTAGTGACACTCAACGAGAACAATCAAACGTATTACTTTGATTTATTTATATAGATTTTTCGTAACTGAATTATACTCTCTTTTCATCTTTATTTATTATACATCTCTTATCTCTTTATACATCTGTTTGTTACTGTATAAGTTGAATGTCTATCATATATAATCTGCATGTGTGTGTATATCTGTATATATATCAGTATAAAAATATTCAAACAAAAAGATAAAAAAATTAATTCTATATACAGATACATACACACATGCAGATAATATTTGATAGACATACAACACATACAGTAACAAACAGATATATAAACAGACAACGATGAGCAAAGATTAGAAGAGAGTATACAAATGAGTAACGAAAAATCTATATGAAATAAGGCAATACATTTGATTGTATCTATTTCTATTGATACTTTAGATCCAATATTTGTGACGTTATATATACATACTATCAATCATAGTATTTCATTTTACGACATTTATGCAGCCATTCGCTTGTTCAATCGATCGCTCACTAATATATTTTCTCTCTCTCTCTTTGTTTATCTTAGTTTCTGTTTAATATATATGTTATGTGTGCATATACATAATTTTATAATAATGTATATATAAATGGAAATACACAAACCTTTTCCTCCAGCCTTTCTTCAAGGAAAGTCTTGGCCGATTGAGAGGTAAATATTTATTATAATTACGTCCCATTATGTGGACACACTACAAAAATATATAATATAATAATTCTTCGCTTCACTTTACTACACGTTATTACACGCTATAACGGCTTTCGTCACTGTTGTTACGCGTACGAAACCGCGCACGAAAGTGAATATTGATACGCGCAATGGATCACCGCATGCGCGCATGTATGTGTGCGCGCGCGGCTTATTCTGTGATGAAAAAGAAATACCGCATAAATATAAAAAACCAATTACGTACAGGATCATTGACTTTTATAATTTTTAAAAAATTTTTGTACTTATGAATGGTAAATGTAAAAACATGTATATACCTCTATCTTTAGATGAAGTTCATAACTTAAATTTTTTTACATTTGGAATATTCAAAATATGGAATGTAAGAATTAAAAAAATGTTCGTAATACTTATACATAATTGATAATAATAGAGGTAATTTTTTATATTGGCACTATTGAATTATTCAATCAATTATACATTCTCTCTATCCGAAAAAAATTAATTTTATATGTAATAACGTTTTCTCTCTCTCTCTCTCTCTCTCTCTCTCTCTCTTGGCATTTACTAATTATATTCTTTTATTCATATGCTTTGTTCTGTTCTCGTTTATCTACACAAAAATAAATTCATACATTTTTATTTTATAACATAGATGCAAAATGACATATGAGTTACATTCTCTTCTTATTTTGCTATTTTCTAAATACATCAGTATAATATAATGTATATACATATATTTAAAAATTAGCTATAAAAAGAATTTTTATGACAAATGATTACAGCTATTTGTTTATTTATGAATGGAAAAAACTGATATATTTTATCCATTTATGTTTTCAAACTCTAAAAAAGATTTATTTGTATATCATCTTTGAATTTGATATAATGGATTAATGAGAATTTTGCGATTAAAATGACACCAAACACGACATATATTGGATAATTTTTAATTAAATATAGAATCAAATTATAATTCTATATTTAATTAAAAATTATCCGATATATGTCGTGTTTGGTGCCATTTTAATCGCAAAATTCTCATTAATCCATTATAATTATTTTTAGATCGATAAAATGCGAAATACATAAATTTTTATTTTTACAGTAACATGATATATGATATGAATGATTATAGATAAAGACCCTCGCGAGCGAGAGAGTTCGGAACTCTTTGATGTTTGTCATCTTGCTTCCTCTTCATTCGTTCTTGCTCTCGCTTTTGATAGTAAACCACGTGGCAACAGCGCACGTGCTCGGAATCGGTCGAAGAAAATCGTCATTTGTCGTAGGACTGTGGAGTGTGCCGGTGGAGTGTGGCGAAAGAAGTGTTCGGAAAATTTTGAACTTGAACGATGCCGAGACGTAAGTACTTTCTCTTATATCTCTTTTATTCTCTTATATATATGCATATAAATATATATATACATATATATACGTATATATAAATTAACTTTATACATTTTCAATACGTTAAATTTATGGAACTCGTATATATTACGCAACATAAATTATAAAAATGTATTAGCTGATAAATGTATAATCTCTTTTTCTTCTCTCTTGTTCTCTCTCATTCTCATTCTTTTTGTAAAAGATTGTTGACAAAAAATTGAGAATATGTAGAAATATAGTATATTTTCTAATATACTTTTTTTACAGCTCGAAGCGAAGGCAATTTGCCTGAAGTAACAAAGGCGACAAGGGCGACGACAACGACCGTAAGGAGGGCGAGGGCGGCGATGGCATCGACATCGACATCGCCATCAACATCACCATCACCATCAATAACGTCGTCGTTACCCCTAGCGGTGGCGTCGTCCAGGAGAGTGTCCACGGCGACGTCACCGCTAGTGATAGCATCGTCCAACAAAGTGTCAACGGCGACGTCGATGGATAAAGATACGGCGACAGCGGAAACGGCGACAGCGGAAACGGCGACGGCGGTAACGGCGACGGCGGTAACGGCGACGGCAAGACCAACCTCAACGAGGCAAGTAAAAAAGGTTAGTAGTTTTTAATTTTTTAAATTGCATTTTTAATTAAAGAGAAAATAAGATGTATACAACATAACATTGGTGCGGATCAAATATTCAGGGTGTCCCAGACTTTTACCGTATCACCTGTTATGGGAGATTCCTGAGATTATTTGGAGATGATTTTTACTTGGCAAAAATGTCGAGGTCATTATTCCCAATTTTTGTCATCATGTACTTAGTAACTAAGAAATTCTATTAAAATAATTTTAGCTGAAGAATGTAGTTTTGTTTATTTTATTTCCACAGAAGACTTAGTTTGCAAAAAAGCCATTATTTTCAATCATTTATTACTCGAAAATTATTAGTGCCTCGACATTTTTGCTGAGGGAAAATCGTCTTCAAATAATCTCAGAAATCCCCCATACAGGTGATATGGTAAGTCTGGAACATCCAGTAAAAATACGAATATATTTCATGCGACGCTGATAATGTCAATAAAATCCGACCATAATGTTGTATACTTTTTTTATCAATATATAAAAATAAATAAATTTACTTGTTTACATACATGGTTACATAGGTATATATATGTATAAAAACGTGTTACAATGCGATTTTCGTAGAAATATAATTTCTTTTATTCCAATTTTATCTAAAACTAGATTTATAAAATAGTAACTGATGCTTGGTTAATATAATATATTATATCATTTGTAAATCGCACATATAAATATATGTATTGCAAATAATAATATGAATTAGGCGTCAGTATGTGTATATATGTGTGTGCGCGCGCGCGCACGCACGCACGCACACTAACACCTAGTTTATTATATTATTATTCTCTGCAATGCATATATTTATGTGTGATTTACAAATAATATAATATATTGAATCACACATCAGTTACTATTTCATAAATCTAGTTTTAAATAAAAAACTGGAATAAAAGAAAGAATATTTCTACGAAAACCGCATTGTAACCCGTTTTTTCATACACATATACATACATGTATGTAACATATGCAAACGAGCAACAAAAGTCTAATTGGAATATGAATGTTAACATACTAACTATATATAATTGTAAAAAAACTAACATAAACTATCTTTTTCAGCGTATAAATGCAGCGGTAAAACAGGCGGTGAACCGCGAGAGACGACGAAAGATACAGGCAAGATACAGGCCTGCATCATCCGTATATGTGCCAACACAATATGTGCACACATCGCCCGCACCGTCTCTGTATATGGCCGCATCGCCAGCATCGGTATATATACCCGCACCATCCGCACCGCTCGCCCCATCAACACAATTAGGATACGGGCCGGCACCATATGGATATGTGCCCGCACCATCCGCACCGCCCGTACTACCTACACAAGTTGGATACGAGCCGGCACCGTATAGATATGTGCCCGCACCACCCGCACCGCCTGCACCATCAGTACAATTAGGATACGGGCCGGCACTGTATGGATATGTGCCCGCATCATCCACACCACCTGCATCGTCCGCCCCATCAGGACAATTAGGATACGGGTTGGTATCATATAGATATATGCCCGCACCATCAGGACCGCCTGCACCACCTACACAAGTTAGATACGGGCCGGCACCACCCGGATATGCGCCCGCGCCAGGATACATATAATAATATATAATAAAAAGAGTGTAGGGGATTAGGAACCATGCAAGAAAATTTATTTGATTTTCTGTGTAGTCACATTAATGAATTTCTATTGTCACATCGAATTATACGTGATAAACGTTTCGATGTTTAGATCATCTTCAGTATTGGTAAAAAGTCAAGTGATAACTTTGAAATTGTGACGGATGTGCGATTTGAAAACTTATTGTATGATTGAATACAGTATTTAGCCAACCATGCGATAAGTTTTCAAATCACACATCTGTCAAAATTTCAAAGTTATCACTTGATTTCTTACCAATATTGAAGATGATCTAAACATCGAAACGTTTATCACGTATAATTCGATGTGACAATAGAATGTGACTACACAGAAAATCAAATAAATTTGCTATAATTCTGGTGTGGCTCTCTCCTACACTCTCGATTTTGATTTTTTACTTTGATTTTGATTTAATATTAATTTATAATTATTTGATAAAATATATAACTTTAAGTTTGATATATAATATTATGTATAATATTTATATATAATATTAATTTATAAAAATATAAAAAGAAATGTATACAAACACAAACATATATATATATTTTATATATATAAATATATATATAGATATATATATTTCTAAATAAAGTAAAAGTTTTATTGTATTCTTATATTTATTTATTTATATATCCTCTCTTCTTTCTTTTTCTGTTTTGCTCGTTATTATATTTTTTATATTGCAATTATGTCACTGTCACTTTTCTTGTCTTTTCTCTATATGAAAATAAATAAGTTTTTTACATATATACATCTGTATTTTATAATAAAAATATAACATTCTCTCTCTCTCTCTCTCTCTCTTCTCTTTTTTCTTAGGTTTTATTTTAAATGCACCTCTATATATATATATATATATCTATCTCTCTCTCTCTCTCTCTCTCTCTCCCCCTGCTTGATTGTTCTATTTTCTTTCATTCCTATTTGTTAGTCATATTCCTTCTTTTCTCTCTACATGAAGATAAATTATAATATTTCTGACAATTGATCGCAATTTACAACTATTTATGAATAAAATTAGAAATCGAAAAAAAGTTCGATAATTATATTATAATACATATATACTTTATCAATTTGTATATATATTAAATAAATATTATGTTATATATATTTAAAATTTGTTTGTATTTTTTTATTTGCAGTAATAATAATCTTTCTGACAATAGCTATATATAAATCAATAAAAAGATTCATTACATTTCAATATACTTTTTATTATTACATCTATATCAATAAAAAGATTCATTACATTTCAATATACTTTTTATTATTATTATATATATATATATATATATATATATAATTGGTATGTATTTTTTACATTTATAGTAAGAATAATCTTTATAACAATTGATCAATTTATTGCTCTTTACGAACTAAAAATAAAATTCAGTAAAATCAAATATGCATGCTAGTAAAATCATTACTTATACGAATTATTTCGAATTACATATGATGTAATAATAAAAAGTATATTGAAATGTAATGAATCTTTTTATTGATTTATATATAGCTATTGTCAGAAAGATTATTATTACTGCAAATAAAAAAATACAAACAAATTTTAAATATATATAACATAATATTTATTTAATATATATACAAATTGATAAAGTATATATGTATTATAATATAATTATCGAACTTTTTTTCGATTTCTAATTTTATTCATAAATAGTTGTAAATTGCGATCAATTGTCAGAAATATTATAATTTATCTTCATGTAGAGAGAAAAGAAGGAATATGACTAACAAATAGGAATGAAAGAAAATAGAACAATCAAGCAGGGGGAGAGAGAGAGAGAGAGAGAGAGAGAGAGACGAGAGAGAGATAATATGACAGACTACAATATAGTGTGTACATACTGTACATTACTCGCACACGCATGAGAGACAAAGATAGTACGATTATGTCAGTCCTTGTCAGCTCAACAGATTGCAGCTCCATCTATCACGACATCACACGACTAATATATTGCTCTACTTTATTCATAAAGCTCGATTTCGCACACACACATATGCACGAAAATGTTAGACAAGCTATTCTTTTTTATTAGGCTTCCAAATTGATATCTAAACATTCATTTATATTCCTTTGTCCAATGCCAAATTCGCCCTGGTATAATTTTGCATATACAAACTGCCAAATTTGTATATTAAGTAAGTAATGTTACGAGCTGACGCCAGAAGCCGATAAAAAATCTGTAATTTCCTAAATTTTTTTGTTTTTTGACATCAAATCGGGCAGGACGAATTTTGTTTTTACGTGTACTTTAATCGTGGAAAAGCATTTTATGTTATATTCAATCAATAAAAAGAATACCTTGTCTAAAAAAAATAATCGTTCGGTCGGTCAAACAGACCAAAGCAGCATCCCCTTAAGAGTCCATTGTCAAGAAACGGATTCTGCGGTCAAAAATAGGGTTTACTAATAAAAAAATGCGTTATAAACCTCAAACAACCTTGAAAATTGACCTCAAGGTCAAGCTAGTCAAAGTGATTTACACTTTTACAATTCATTGACTTTGTTTAAGCATTATGCACATTTGTGTTACCCAGAAAACCACGTCATTTCAGAAAAAGTACACCAGATCGTTTTTCAGGCATTTCACCTTTATTTTTGACCTTTCCAAGGTCGCAAAAACAATTTTTTCATAAGACAAGTTTGATGTAAAATTTTCCGCTGTTATAGTCCGAATGACTATAACTATATTATATTATATTATATTAACATAGTTTTAATAATAAATTAGTAAGTCAGCTATTATATAATCATTTGAGAAACGTTCTCACGCTCTCGCGAAGCGCTTATCGCGAAAAGACGCAAACGCGATGAAACATAAGCGTTACGCCGAAACCCGCGGACCGCAAGCGAAGAATCAACCTGCTTCGCTTGCACCTAGATAAAAAGCGTGTGAATAAAAATTAGCCAATGAAAGAGCTTCTCTACATCTTCCCCCGAAAGATGTAGAAAAGGGCAGGAGACCACCGCGAACGGAAAGCGAGGCGACGAAGTCAGTCGCTAACGAAAATCCAAAAGGTCGAGTCGCTAATTAGAACCTAACTAGGAGTCAAAGACAAGCCGCAGAATATAACTATCACCTGTAATCTGATTATCGAGAGCGAGCACACCTAACTAATCACCCAGGTGGGATTATACATAATTAATCCAACTCAAGAAATAAGCGAAATAAAAGATTTATTCAAATACACAAGCGAAGTTAATCAAAGTGGAGACGCCCGCCGATCCTAGGATCCTCATCCTTCAGTCGACTGAGACCCCAAAATTTTCCGTGCCTTCCCGGAGGCACAACAATTTGGTGGCAGCGGTGGGATCTCAGCCGCAGGGCCGACGTCGTCTCCAAAATTTTCACAGCGGCGAAGACCTGTAAAAACACATACAATTATAACAAGTGTTAGACGGGCACGTCAGTAACTCTGACGGAAACAAGCAGAAGCCACGACTAGGAGAGAACGAGAGAGCGGACAACATAAACAGTGCAACGAGTGATAAGCAGCAGAGAATCGAAAAGGATCGCCGACGTCCAAGGACAACGCCGACCTACGACAACCTCACGGGCAGCGCATCAACACGAGCGACGACCCGCCGTATCTATCACCAACACGGAGCCGCCGTTATCAGCCCACGAGCGATCGAGTTGCAGCAGCAGCAGCCGACCCGTATAGAGCGTAACGATGCGAGCCGTTATACTGTAAGTCCGAATTTATTTGATTGCGTGAATGTCGGAAGGTGACGAAACACCCCGACAAGCGATTAAAAACCAATCGTGGTTGCATAGTACACCTGTACGGTTAACGACGCGAGTATTGCCTTTAACTGCGCAAAATCTCGAAAGCGTTCGTAGAAATTTAGACAGCGACTTGACAAACGAAAATAATACCGAGTTACCTCCGAACGTAATAAACGAACGAGAATTTCCGTTTACTAGTTTTGACGCGAGTATATTCGCAAATAATCCAAGCGACTCCGTTCAAGTAACTCAAAACGAACCGCGTCGATTGCGACCGTATATCAGCCGAACTCCGAGTAGAGTATCTTCGCGAAGAGAATTTTCATTAACGTCATACGACAGCGAAATATTCGATCCCGAAGAAATTTATAGCGAAATAAATATGGCAGAAAATACAAACGCGAACGCAACTATTCCGCCAACCGCGATAGATGCCGAAATAAGCATACTCCGACAAACCCTTGCACAAATGGGACAGAATTTAGACGTCACGTCACAACAACCCTCCGTCGTAGCGCCCGGAGAAACTTCACAAATGCTTAATATAATACAAGCTATACATGCAGAGCTACATACACTAAACACACGTATGAATAGGATAGAAGCCGCACAGGCATACACACACACAGACGAACAGCGGGAGTCCGATTACGAGCCTCGTATGACTTACGGACGGACTGAGCGCGACGTACGAAATCGACGGAGTACTGCACGACAATATATGTCTCTAAAAGAAGCGCGAATGATGATACCCGAATTCGACGGTACATCGCGACACCGCCTTCAGGAATTTCTAAACGCATGCACATATACAATGCAAAACATACATCCCGGAGACGAAGAGTCTCTGATACAGGGCATACTATTTACTAAATTAAAAGGTAAAGCCATGCAAGTTTTCGAAACGCGAGACATACAAACGTTTGAAGAATTAAAGCAACAACTAGAGACCGCATACCAATGCAAGCAAAGTACTGCCCACTTGCAATTAGAATTTAATTCGCTAAAGCAGAAATATAATGAGACAGCACAAAATTTCGGGCAACGCGTCGACCAGCTCGCTATGAATTTATACGATTCAATGATAGAGGGAGAAAACCAAACGAGCTCAGAGAAACGCACTATCTTACAAACGATCCAAACCCAAGCATTATTAAATTTTCAATTAGGGCTACGAAGCGACTTAAAGGTACTCGTACGCTCACAACGATATACGACGCTTCAAGAAGCGATAGCCGGCGCGAGCGCGGAAGAGAGATTTATCGGACCTAGCACGTCACGGGCAACAAATTCCTCGCTAAATAAGCCTGAATCAACGCGGTCAGGACAGCGAACGACGGGACAATGTTATAGATGCGGAAAACCCGGACATTACGG